GTTACAAAAAAAAATTAAAAATTTTGCAGTCCGGACCTGGAATACATATTATTTAAAGAAAATGAGGTTTAAAATATGCATGCTTATTTATAACATCTACCCTCAATTAAGCCTTCGCTAATTTTAGTTGCAAAACCATTTTTATCATGTGTCCTTCACATAATTTAGTTTTAGAAGCCGTAGTCTCGTATATTCAATAGCTTATTTAAATAACCACCAAAGTGTAAAAAAAAAGAAACTTGTCTTTAAAATCACTTTTTTATGCTCTTTCCGAATATCGTATGGGAATTTCAAAAAAATACATACAGAGTGTTGTTTTCTAGACTTGCACAAAAAGTTTACAATTTTTGCAGTCCGGACCTGGATTTTTTTGCTGTCATACATGCATACATGAAGTATCGTGAGTGCATTAATCCTACCAAATATGAACCCATTATTCCATTCCCTACCAAAGTTATGACGTAAAGCAGTTTTGACCAAAAATCATAAATCACCCTGTATCTCAATAAAGAATGGCCAAGAAGTTATTTCTATAGGCGATCCTAGTTACCCTAGTTGTCCTCTATCTCCCATTAAGCCATGTCCCTCTCGTGATGCAACACCCTGTATTTGTTAAGGCAAATGTTTGAATCTATTCATCTCTCCAGAAAAATTTTAAGAAAAATACTTTACTTATAGCTATTTCTTATACTATTAAAACAATTTTTAACCTCCAACTTTGCTATGTTATATTGTTTTATTAACAAAATACATATTACAAAATTGAATGTATCAATATTATGTAGAACATAATTTGTTTTGTTTTTTGTTATTTAAGATGAAAAGTTTACATAAAGATAGCGGGCCTATGTAATGCTTCGATTTTAAGATACAGGGTGTCAAATATTAAAAAAAATCGTTTCTTTACAAAAATCTTAATAATAATCCTTTAGTCGATTTTATTGAAATTTGGCAGTGTTGGATAGGGTGAAAGGGGCTAATTTAGCACTAACTAGATTAAAATTAATAAGTCCAGTTGCGTCCCCGGAGCACGTTAACCAATATTTTTGACTAAAAAAAATGTGCGCCTCTGACTTTTCTAAAACCTTTATATTTTTTTTTGCATTAAACAACTAAAAATACAAGCTTTTTATCTCTTGAATTTTATTCGTGTCTTGCTTCCCTTTTTGAAGAAAAAAACATAAAAGTCATCTTATTTTTTTCCATATCAATAGTCTATTCTAGTCTTAGAAATTGTATAAAAATTAATGCTTGTTAAAAAAAATTTGTATGTTATTAATTAATAAAAAATGTTTTTTCTGTTGTCCATGGACATGCAATAAAGTGATTTTTTTTCTCCAAAAAGGAAGCAAGAGATGAAAAAAATTTAAGAGACAAAAAAGTTGTGCTTTTAGTTGCTTAATGCGAAAAAAATTTTAAAAGTTTTAAAAAAGTCAGTGGCGCACATTTTTTTTGTCAAAAATATTGGTTAAGGTGCCCGCGGGACGCCACTGGATTTAATAATTTTAAGCTAGTTCGGAATAAATTAGTCCCTTTCTACCATAAATAACACTGCCAAATTTCAAAAAAATATATCTGAAGGATTATTAAGATTTTTACGAAAACATAATTTTTTAAAATAGTTTGACACCCTGTATATTGAAAACGAAGCATTACCACACCTATTTTTATACGAACTTTTCGTATTAGAATCACTCAAATAAGCAGCCTTTGAAGTTTGGCCACGTACTTAAATAACATCCTGTGTATCATTTGTAAAAATTTTATAATTTTACCTTTGATGTTTTGTCTGAATATGGAGTAAACCCGAAACCATCGTAATAAAACAAATTGGAAGAAAAATAGTTTAATAAACTAAGTTATTTCATGCACCAATGTCCCGATAAATAAATAATTCCAGGAATAATTATATGGTTAGGAAATTAATATATTTAAGACCATTTTAAAGGTAATTCAAACAGATTTAAAAACTCTTATCAAATGATTGTTGGCAGACAATATTGTTCTATACCAGAAATCTATGTATGTAAACGATATTTAACTCAACAGACAAGATTCCCTGCAGATATTGCATTTGTTTTAGTTGACTCAAAATAGCTTAAAAATGCGAAAGCTAAAAATAGAATATGTTTTTTAAAGAATAAATGTAATAATCAAGTCAAATACGTAGTCTGTTCAGAAAATAACGGTACTTTTTTAATTACGCGCTAATGGAGATATTTAGTGACATGCGATTGGCAGCATTGCATTGTACAAGGGTAGTCCCTACAATCTGACAACTTATTGTGAGTTTATTATTGAAATTACAAAAAAGTTTTCAATACAAAAGTTTTAGATTTTTCTATGAATTTTTATAATATAGTATTATAAAAAACAATTGAATAATGGAAATCGCTAAATTAAAGAAAAAAAATATATGGAACACCCCATATATTAGTGCATACTTAGCTTCGTTAAATTTTTCTCTTTTCAAAAATATAAAATATGTTACTGTTTGATTTAGCACTTTTCGACATATTTCAGTTTAAAACTATTTTTGAAAAAAAGGAGAGAAATTTATGTCTGACGGATCGCAGTGGCTGTGGACGAGGCACGCGGAACAAACAAATGACTGACAGAAATTTATTTATCATCATTAATTTATTTCCTATAACAAACTATTTTAACAAAGAAATACGTTGAAAAATTTTCAGGAGTTCCTCTACCACTATTTTTTTTTAAAATTTTATTTACTTGGAAAATGAAACATTAATCTTTTTTCGTTTATTTAAATAAAAATTCTGCGAGTATCTTACTTCAATAATGATATTAAATCACAAGGTGAACAAGTAGTACAGGTGCTAATGTTTTGCTCTTCAGTTACTCTTGCGTTCATTAAATTGATAAACATATTGAAGTTAAGGAAGAGAAATAATCAAATATTGAAGGTAACAAAACGCCTAAGGTACTTTATATTTAAACATCTTAATTGAAAGTAATTAAACATAATGGTTTGGCTAAGTGTTAATACGGTAAATTTAAAAGGTGCAAGTTCTTGAAGAACATGGAATGTACATATTTATGTGAAATAAAAAGGTTGTTTCATTCTTCAATATAAGTTAAATTATGTTATTTCGAGGTACAATTATCCTTTTTTCCTTTTGAGGGATTTCTTATTTCAATAACTGTTTCTTCTTCTCGTTCATCTTCTTCTTTTACTGTTTTTTATATCTTATATCTTTCAAAAAGCTTTAAGTGATTTGTTGTAAATAGATACAAATCTGATGACTGTCATCTATGACCGAATCACTGAATTCAGTCTTTCCAGCAAGATCTTTTCTAGTACCAGTCTTGATCTATAATTTTCTTTAAATTATTAAGAAACAAATTCATTAGTATTAGAAGATTCATTAATATCAATCAGGGATTGGTTCTACTCATCTTCATTCCAAAATATCTCCCTTATTTGATTCTCACAATGCCAATCCTCCAAACTATATTTTGGAGCCCAATAAAGTATCCCTAAATAAGGCTACTAATAAATTTTTTTATCACAAATTACAGGTAAAGTAACCTACGACGATTATAAAAATTTTTATAACAAACAAGTTATAGGATTGCTGGATAAATACGAATCAGGAAATTATTCCTTTCAAGAAGGGACCACCTTCCAAATATTCAAACCGGATCAATCCGTAGATTCTGGCGAGAAAGGTGAAAG